TTGTATATTCGACCACAATAAAACATCTACGTACTCTTAATAAGACTAATATCTTTGATACCATTGTGTAATACTTCATAATAAAAAACACACTAAATTCATATGAAATGAAAACCACAAAAAAAAGGTGCATATACAGTTAACAATACAAAGATTAAATAGTTAAATTCAACTATTAATTATAAGCTAAAAATTTGTTCTTTTTCTTTTTTTTTTACACATTCGTCTCCAAGTTGTTTTTTAATATACTAAATATCAGGGTTCAGTTTCACAAAATTTTTTTAGATCTTTAAGTTCTTTCCTTTAATTAAACCTTAACATCAAATTTAAGAATTCTGTAAGTTGTTTCATAAAGCTATCTTAAGAATGTCTTAGATAAAAATGATTCACAAAGTATCTCAAGAATATGATGTGATGGGAATATGGTAATCCTATAAATCAGACTGGATGGTTAGTTATGTTAAATGGAATTTGGACAAAAAGTTCTAATGTCACAGTTTTTTTCCATAAGTTTTAATAAATATAACATATCTGTGTGTTTTATTTATTTAAACAAGATTTTTTTTCAGTTACTTAAGAAAAAACAAAAGTGTCCCCAGAAAGAATTAACATCGAAGGAACGGTGGGGCTGTTTGCATCATCACCTGTAACAAATGAAAATGGTGATCGATTTAGAACCTTCAGCAATGTCAATGGACTTTGCATTGGCAATTCCTTCTTCCAACACAAACGCATACATAGATGGACTTGGAGGTCGCCTGATGGCCAAATTAAAAATGAAATTGATTACATATGTATTAGTAAGCATTGGCAAAGATCTCTGATGGATGTAAGATCATACAGAGGAGCAGACGTTGGTTCAGATCATAACTTAGTAATCGGAAAGTTCAAAGTGAAATCTAAAGTGCAGCAGAAGACTAAGAAACCTAAGGCTTTTGCAGTGAATAAGTTAAAAGATCCTAGGGTGGCAGAAGAGTTTCAACTTAAGTTGCATAATAAATTCGAAGTCCTTGAAAATCTAGAGAACATAGAGACACATTGGGAAGGTTTTAAAAATAACATTCATGAAGTGGCCGAAGAAGTACTGGGTAGAAGAAGATGAACCAATAGAGAAAGGTGGATTAGTGATGGTACGTGGACGGTGATTGATGAAAGGAAAAGGGTCAAGCAACTGAGAGAAGCAGCAACTAGACAGGATTATGGTGACTTAGCTGGGTGATATAACAAACTAGATAGAGAAGTGAAAAGGAGGTGTAAGAATGATAAGAATCAATGGATTGAAGATAAAGGGAATGAAGCACAGGAAGCTGCAGATAGAGGTGATAGTAAAACTGTATATAAGATAACAAAAGAGCTTACATCTGGTTTTAAAAGTAGTGGAGGTGTACCTATTAAAGCAAAAAATGGCACGAGACTGACTACGGAAAGAGAACAACTGGAAAGGTGGAAAGAACATTTTAATGAAGTCCTGAACCAATGTGAACCTGATATTTTGTTAGACTTATCTAATGAAAATGTCGGAGCAATTTTGAATGTAAACCTAAATGACATATCTCTAGAAGAAGCTAGAAGAGTGTTGCAAAATCTGAAAAACAACAAAGCAGCAGGGTTAGATGAGTTGCAACCTGAATTACTGAAGAACGGAGGTCAAGCGTTGGAACTGGAGTTAATAAATATTTTTAACAAGATTTGGCGACAGGAAACTATTCCATCAGAATGAGGTCAGGGTGTGATTGTCACTATTCCGAAAAAAAGGAGACCTAAGTGATTGTAACAACTGGAGAGGAATTTCTTTACTATCAATACCTGGTAAAGCTTTTTGTTATATATTATTAGAAAGGTTGAAAGATGAAGTAGATGCCTTATTAAGGGAAGAACAGGCTGGATTCAGAAGCGGAAGATCATGCACTGAACAGATATTTATCTTACGAAACATCATAGAACAAACTTTAGAATTTAAAGGTCAAATGAACTTAAACTTTATCCGTAAAGCCTTTGAAAGTGTCCATCGAGAAATGTTGTGGAAAATTGTGGGACTATATGGTGTACCAGAAAAATGTATAAACATATTCAAAAGTCTTTATGAAAACTCCAGTAGTTGTGTAAAAACTAACATTGGGACCACGGAGTACTTTAATATATACAGTGGAGTGAGACAAGGTTGTGTGTTATCTCCCTTTTTCTTTCTTTTGGTGGTAGATTTTGTCATGAAAAAAGCGATGAATGTTGGTGATGGGATAATGTGGGGTGATGGAACTTAACTGATTTGGACTTTGCAGATGATATCGCTTTAATTGGGAAAGATAGACAGAACATCCAAGATATGACAAGGAATTTACAAGAGATTGGTAAAAAAGTTGGGCTTAGAATAAATGCTACGAAAACTAAGACCATGACAGTTGGACACAATATGGACAGGGCAGTAAAGACTGAAGGATCAGAGATTGAAGATGTACAAGATTTCGTGTATTTGGGTAGTAAGATAGCGGCTAACAGAGAATCAGACATTGATGTTCAAGCAAGACTTAATAGAGCTACAGGTGTGTTCAATAGGCTTCGACCTATTTGGAATTCGAGCACCATCAGAAAAGAGACTAAAATAAAATTATACTCCGCCATCGTAATACCTACAGCCTTGTATGCTAGTGAAACCTGGAGAAGAACAGCAGCTATGAAGAATAAGGTGAATGTATTCCATCAGAAATGTTTGAGAAAGATCTTAAAAATATCATATAGAGATCATGTGAGAAATGAAGAAGTTTTGCGAAGGGCAGGTCAAAGGGACCTGCAAGAATCTGTTAATAAGAGAAGGCTTAGATTTGCAGGACATGTACT